TAAATTTCCATTCGGGCATTCATAATTGTTTGCGCAACCGAAACGCTAACGCAACATTAACCGCGCCTGGCGCTCGGGCGCCTCCACCATTTCTATCATCAGACAATATCGACACTCCCAACGGACGCCAGTATAAGCGTTGCGTGCTTCCAAACGCCTTCGACACGGCATTCGATTAATTATTTATAATTGAGAATATATCAAGCTCACGCAAGATGCTACACCATCAATAAGTCTGCGATATTAATTTACTGAGATATTTTTTACCGCAAGATTAAAAATCGAATCTGCTGGCTGCTGAGCGCTTGAAGTTATGCTTAAAGAGCACTCTAAATCGTGTTAAAAGAAAAACCAGCGTTTGAAGCGCGCCGAGGAGGATGAAGCAAAACGCAAAAAAAGCGGCCAGCGCTTTAAACTTCTTACGAGTGCAAATAGTGCATAATAAATGGAGAGTCGCATAAATTTGCCGGCGCGACGCACACTTCTAAAGGTTGGTTTGGGGTTGAAAGTTTTAGTGGCGACGCAAACGACGCCAGTGGTTTAAACTACTAGGAATGTCTTCGCCATTGCAGTTGTATTTGCACAGCGTCGGACACTATTGTCAAGCTGCAAGCACAACATGAGTGCAAATACTTAATACAACTCGTGATGAACTACATTGTACCCTGACTAAAACTCGGCTTGACAAGTTGGATTAATTTTATACAGATTTAAGACAAAAATAAGATTTACAATATTTTACTATGAATAAAATATGTATACGGTGAGGAGAATCGTGGAATTTAAGTTGTGGTGCGAGATGTATTGGTTGGAACTGCCAACTGCACAAAATTCTATTTCCGCTGAGCGGATCGTCTTCGCTTCCTGCATCCGCACCGCGGACTTAAAATATATAGGTATATCCATCTATTTCCAACGTATTGATTTATAATCAATGATAGGTAAATCAAAATAGTTTATAAAGTAATTATTTCAATATTATACAACTTGGTGATAATGATAGTTATAAATCTTAGCTGGGTAAATCACACAATGACTTTTGTGTGTTGGTGTGTTGGTGAATTCATTCTAATTGCATTTAGGTGGGTCCAAAACGTCGTAATCGGAAATTATGTGATCGGTTCGCAGACCGTTTGGTAAAGCGGCGCGCGGGTGGCGTGATATTATCCAATTGCGATAATTGATATAGTGGCGCGGCAAATCGCTGCAAATGGCGCGCTGTATTGATACGATAACTATAAACGCGCCCGCTTTACTTTCAACTTGCGATAAAAAGCATTAGCGCGCTGATTCGATTTTACTGCGTCGCGTGTAGCACTAAAAATATTTTACCATCAACTTCATGAGCTTTGATATAACTTTGATTGGGTTTCACGATTAGCGGACGTAAGTTGTTTTGTTTGATGGGTCGTAAATTTTATTTGCGCAATTTAAACCTCCATGGCTCATAGTATAGTTGTTTGGATATGTCAGATTTGGCTCAGTGGGTTGTGTGTTGTCCTGTTTGTGCGATCGGATAGTATTGGCCAAATCTGACTATTGTTACTGTAGCATCGAGTGGAATTAGCATATTGACCGAATTGAACAATATTGTAACATGCAACATTCAACATCCTGTAGTACCGTAGGTATATTGTGTCTTGACGCACGTAGAAGACCTGATCGAACAATTTGAATATTTTTCTACTTGACTGGTCGGGATATCTTGGCTCATGCAAGATTTTTTTTACTTTGTTCTAAATCAATACATGACAAACTGCGTTATAGCAAATTTATGGTCTGTATATTAGTAGTACTGATGTTTAATAGATATTGATTTAATGCACCATTGAAATAAAATTAACATTTCGTCATAAAACGTATTCAAATGTAATATTTCCTAAAGAGTAATAACTAATTCATGAATTTAGTTATGAACTATCATCGCATCAGCACATATTGACTGCAGAAGTTGAGTTGAAATTGAAAAGTCATTATTCACACATGAATTACAAATCAATTTCTAATAGAATTTCATAGTTGCACATAATGCCCACCAAAATGTAATTTTATTCGGATATTAGTTAAATTTTATTTGACTCTAAATTGTCTTGTTTTAATGCTAAACTCCATCCAGTAATAAATTTCCTTTTACTATCTACTGAAATTGGATGCTATTCAGCAAAGATAGAATTTATGCCATTGCTAAACTTTAATATTTAATGTAAATGCTTTGTTTAATTTAATACTGTTGAGTTTCAATTGAAGAAATAAATATTGAAGCAAATTAAAAATAATTATTAATGCGAAATTGAAATTGATATTTGAAAAACCGTAAACCTACATATAGAATAATTATTTTACTGTTTCATTACCACAAAACCTTTATTCCAAAAGTTGTTTACGTAATGTTAATTAATGCACATGTAAAAACATGTTTCTGTGTTAAGATATTTATTTATTCAGTTTTATAATTATAATACACATTAATCATAAAGCCATATGATTAATATTTGTTATTTAAATAATTTAAAATATAATTGTGGGTATATTACCTTACGATATCTTGATTCAGGTCTTGTTTCCACGAAATCGTGCTGTTCCTTAGCTTAAGAACATCCGCACACTTGCGTTACTACTAACAAGGCGCGTCCCTGCGTGATTCATGTAATATTAAGTTTCGGCGCAACGTTAATTAACTGTGCGCCATAAGTTTCGTGCGGGTGATACATGTGCGCAAGCATAAATCCACCAAACAATATCTATAACTATTAGCCGATTTAGTTAACTTAATCTCTAAGCCAAAATTAACCAAGTTCAATGTACCACAAGTAAGCAAACATATAATTTATTTATTGCTTTCTTGGGAGTATTTCTAGTGTTAAAAATAAATTTATTTTATATAACTTTAATCCTCTATATAAATTCAAAATTGATTTTGTAATAAAGAATGTTTGCCAATTTTTATGATTTTATGATCCGGTTTATGACACACAAAAAATATATATATATGGATTTATTTTTTATCTCACGTATAGAATCAATGGTTATAGTGACGTCCGCGAAGAGAAACACGTCGGACGTTGGCGTCAATAAATTCTGTTTTTATTGCGTTTTAAGCGTCGCAACGTGCTAAAAGGTCATTACAATGCTGCCGCCATTACGTTACATCCTATTTCTCTATCCTTGCTTTCCCGTCGTATTCAGGCGACTACTGTTGTTCATCTCAATGTTTAAAACGTGAATTCCGCTCTACTTTTATATATTACCAACGTTCATTTGTCGAACAATTTAAAATTTTTTACTTCTTTTGCTAAAAATTACTTTTGTCTTGCACGCTGTAAATTCTCTAAATACCGCTCTGCGTGTTGTGCGTTGCGTTAATCGCGTTTCGTTTTATTTCTCGCACCGCCATTAGTATTTTGTTTAGCGCTGATGTTTATGCGCTCGCAGTCGTTTCGTGGCAAAGTGTTTGTTTACGGTTTTCGGTGTGTTCTTCCTGGCTCTCAATGCTGCTGTGTGGACGAGCGCGTGCGCGCACACTGATGTTATTACTGATGTCGCTCGTTTGCGTCGCGAAATGGGAAAAAAGTATTCTTTATGTAAGCGCGCATTATTGTCTTTCGGAGTTAGTGGGCGAGACGTTTTCATAAATCAGCCGTAAACGCGACTCCACCGTCAGCCCGGCACCTCCACATAATCACAGCGCCAGCGAAAATCTCCGCCATCTTCAAGCTAGTGCAGAGATAGTAAAATGCAAGCCAGGAATAAAACACAACAATGTTACAAGCAGGCACGTCTGAAGAAGCGCAATGGTGATAATCGTAAAAGCTCTGAAATAAATGATAACAGGTAAAATATTAACGTAGTCGACAGTAAGAGTTGAAAAAATAGGTTATTATTATATTTCTTGATGTGAAAGTAATAGTTTTTAATATTTTAACACACTGTATGTTAAGCATATGAGTGTGCAGGGTATTGTTTATAAGAACTTTGAATCAGCGCACCGCGACTAAATCCTCAAGATTTTGCGCTTTCCCAAAGCTTTGTGCTACCTTCATGCATAAAAACATACAATGTGCTTTAATAAATAGAAAAAAATGAATGTAGCAAGCTTAAGCAGTAAAAATATCGTGTGAAATGATGTAAAAAATTTAATAACGCATTCATAGATTAATTTATATTGTTGATATTTGCGGTATCTGTGAAATGCAGTTGTTTAAACAATGTGTATATATTTAGTAGAATAGAATCTTGAAAATAGGTGAATGTTCATAAATGCGCTGTGTAGCGAAGGTAGCAACGTCGTCGTTGTCGAAGGAGTAAAAGCTTCGACGCTAAAGCTCCAGCACGGATATGGCGTACACACGTCGCGGCACCCGCAGTCAGTGACGGCGGCGTCGTTACCGCAATACGCGATTTCTGCAACGAAGCAACGAAAAGCCTTTAACGACCATGTCTTCTACGATGCGCGCGGCCGCGACGTCTCGTGCGTGCACAATAGCTCTCATTAATAATTAACGAGGCGCCACTTGGTGCGTCGCGGCGCTTTTATCTCCACACGGTCGCCTGTATATAATTACACGTAAAAATTACACTTCGGTCAGTGTTTCTTAAAAGAAAATTTAATTTCTTTTTACAAAAATGAGCCGTAATTACACATTGCTCCGAAAGGAGATTGTCAAATGCGCATTGATGTTGTTGCGAATGTTTGCCGTCGCTATCAGTGACAGTGGAACAATGAATGAACAAAAGACGCCCGCGAGATAAACTCGTATCGAATGGCTGGCGAATAAAAGGAAGGAAGAAGGAAGAAGCAGTGGTATGGTGGCAGTAGCGGCATCGAAAAGCTAAGATAATAACAAGTCGGACCGGCGTACTGGCGACGCCTTCCGTCCACGGCGCCCAGCATCCACCAACACAAGCGGCGGGGGCAGAAGTGGTGAACGGGGGGCGGTGTGTGTTAGCTCGGAGACGGCGAAGCGACGCCGCGCGATTTAGTCCTGCTGCAGCCGAGTCCCGGCGCGGTTATTACGGTATCACGAGCCGCGTGTGCGCCTGGCCCAGCCGCCAGCCGCCAAACCGCCCCCTCTCTCTTTACTCTCGCGTACGCGTTTCCGGCTGTGGAAAGTACGAAAGTAGTGCGCCGCCGACGCGCTGGCAAATTGCTGAGCTGAAACCGAAACCGCGTTCTGCATTCAACTTTTAATTAATAGTGTTGAAAAGCACGTCGGCGCTATTTTGCGATACAGCTGGGTAAGTCTGTTACAACCATAATGATAGAATTTGCATTTTTAACTACAACTAATCAGAGTTATGCGGAAAAAATATTCAAATAATATTTTTGCTACATTACGCTTATTAAGTATAATAAATGGCTTCCACACGATAAATTAGAAAGATTTTTAAGGATTACTAAGGGTGAAAAATACTGACCATTGAGTGCACGCATTCTAATTAATTATGAAAGCGGTAGAACACCGCTAACCAACGTTCTTTTGTTCAATTGACAAAAAAATTATATAAATTCTTTTAATCCAGATTAATTATTAATTTAAAAAAATAACCGCAGGGTAAAATTGTAATTTTTCGCATAAATTATTCAATTATTAATGCAAACTACAAAAAGCTTTATTAAAAACATTGTTTATTACAATTTATAAAATATTACAAATAAAACAATGCATTATAATATATAATAACAAATAAATACGTTTGATACCCATTCATACATTTATTTTATTATTTATTATGAAAAAACTCTTGTAATTAAATTGATGTGCGATTAAAATCCACGTCGATGATTTTGAACTCAATTATTTTGATGTGAGCTTTGATGGAAGCCGCTAGACGGCGTTAATTTGACATTTAAAAGTTTTAAGCTTCTTTTTCACTGCGTTTTGAAGATAATCGCAATAATAATGATAATCGTCAGGGTCTAGAAGTAGTTAGAGTTTTTAATTAATTTAAATTAATTTTAATAATAAAAAACTCAAATACGTTTTTAAATAATGCTTAACACTTTTATTTTATTTTTTCGAATAATGACAATTCGTAAATACAGAAATAAATCTGTTCTGCTTTTAATATAAATATTGTTTTGTTTTTGACATTACTGCGAAGCATCGTGTCGTAAACACGCTTACAACGTTGTTAAATGGCACGCCTGTTCGGTTCGAGACGGTTTTCTTTATTGCAAAGCGTTTTTATTCTATTTGCTTCATAAATTCGCACGGAATTGCGCTTTTTTCTTTAATGCGGACTGAATGTGCGCAAGCGCTCGCCATACTTTTACAATGTCGGCCGGATTTGCAATAACCTCTCATGACATGTGTCTTACTCCAGGCGGTGGCGCACTTTATACTCGCATGCAATGCGCTTCCAAAAAGCTGTAACATAAATTAATCTACAGACGAAATAACATCGCGCGCGCGTGCAATTTTTTTTTCTGTTTCGTTTCGTCGTTTGTGTTACGAGTATTCCTTTTTGCTTTTAGTTTTCGTCATTCTTTCTAGCCGGCGTTCTTGCGCGGCCATATTTTTTGCGCGCCGTCGTTGCCGCGAGAAACCTTCCGGTCCGTGGATGTTCAATCTCTGCCCAAACATAAAACATAATAAATCCACCAAAAACCGCAGCGCACGGAAAGCACAATAATTCAATATCGGCCGAGGCGGAGGGCAATATTTGCCCAATACGGCCAGATAACTCGCCGGACAAAAATAAACGAGCAAAAACACACACATACAGCGTTTTTGGTAAAAGCAAGCAAGCAAAAACACAAGCAAAGTGCACGTCCACTCAAAGTAGCGAAACTTCACAGAGGTTCATATTGCTTCCTTTGTATTTGTTTAATCTATGATGTCATATTTTCATTCTGTGGGAGTAAACATTAAAAATTGCATCACACAAGGTAAACGAAACTTTAATTCAATTTTGTAATCGGAGTACTAGTAGAGTATTTGGTTCGCAATCATGTATTGTTCCTGAAATTGAAATAAAAATGTTTTGCGAATATATATATCGCCATGGTGTACAAGGGTTGAGGGTTGTGAACATAAATAGCCGACTTTGGCTTTGTGCTGAACGCGTCGTCGTTGTTTGCTTCGTTGTTGTATAAATCGCAATTTCTTCCCGCACGCCGGCTTCTTTTTATACGCGCGCAAAAATGGGAAAAATGGATGCGAGTTACAATTCATTCCGGTAAACAACGTCGTAAAATCAGAAGTCTCCGCGCGCAGTTTACAGAATCCTCACGGAGGAAAACAATCTTAACGGCTCTCATTGGTCACATGGGTATAATATTCTTATAAATAATTATTAACGCAAGAAACGTGTACGAAAATGTATTACGATGCAAATGAATTCATGTGATTTAAGTTGCCTATATCAAATCGTTCATTTTATTTTATTTTTAGGTTAGAAGTAATTAAACTCTGACATAATGTGTTGCGCGATGTAAAGGATGTTACCCCCCAGCGTAGTTGCGAAATTGCTCGTTGCATCTTAGCATCAATGTGCTTCCGGTTAAGCGACGACAGAAACACTCCTGCTCTCCTCTGTGGACGTGTGCCGCATGAGCAAATCGCATCCTTCCCTTTGTCCTCTGTTGTTCTTCATTATCGAATGCCATTTCGTGGCTCGTCACACGACGGGCGGTTCGTTTACGTAATAATCTGCCAGTTCCAAACACGATGACAAAATGACAAGGGTTAAGTAGAAATTAATATCGCCGAACTAACGTAATCCTTTTTATCTCTGTCCTTTGATTTCCATCAATGCGACATCATTATCATGCGTATTAAATACTAAATCCAATTTAAAAAGGTAGTCATCCATACGTGGTGCTAATTGGCAACTTTTGTGAACTGCTGTCAAAACGATCGATCGTAACACAAACTTTTCGGTCAGGTTTTCGACCGGATGGATTGTCGAGGCTGTCGGGCTAATCAGCGAACATTCAAATTCAACCTGTAAACTTCCTTCCGAAACTTGGGGCTCATTCGTTATACACCTCGTGACGTCGCAGGAAAGGTCCAAAGGTCGAATTCGGCACATTCGGTATGGACCTCCGGCGGCGGCGCGCCGGAATTAGAAGTTTGCTCGAGCGTTAAGTGCGCAAAAGGCCGCTCACTTGTCGGAATATTTAACTTTGTTTCGCAAGCGCCCGAAAGTACGAAATGTGACCAGCTTACTGATTGGGATTACACGCGCGATGTTGTAGTTTTTTTCCTCTGTGTGGCGCGCATGGCGTTGAAAAAAAGACACGCAAAGATGAGCGAAAAGAAACTGGAGCATGGAAAGAGATGCGAGAACAGAGCAAAAACGTGGCTGACTTGTAACAAGCAAAAAGCGCTTAATTAGCGGAACGTGCTTGTTATACCGTTTGGTATTTTATATTTATACGTGCGCGAGAATTTCCAAGGAGATAAACAGCTTTTATAATTTTAGCGCAAATTACTGTCATATTTTTTTGCGAAACGAAACGTTTGTTCAAATACTGAATGATTGATGGTGGTATTTTTACAAATTATTGCTCAACCTGAGAAAGCAACATTGTAGATCCAAGGTATCATAGAATATTCATGTTAAACACAGAACTTTATTATAACTTTATGAATTTACGAAACTTTGCTTGACAATGCACGCGACGCCAATATAATAGAGAATGTAATGCATTTAAATTGAGCTAATCAAATGCATTGACTCCGGCGTTGAGCCTGGTATCGTCCTGGGGGCGGTGTGTAGGTGTTTCCATAGTTATTGCATCAGAAATGCGTCAAAACACAAAATCGACAAAATTCAAATGGTAACTCTAATATTACAAATCAATACAGATTATAATTCAATAACTTTGATTAAAAATTTATGATAATTATTGCTACATTACAAGTAATCAATATCATGATGCTATTCATTGCATTCATAAATTTAGCATTGCAGTATATCATGATATAAATACTTTAATCTGATAAATTATTAAATATCCAGCGCGTTTCGTTTCGTTTCGTGCTCTATAGGCGAGAAAATATATTAATTAGCAGCGTTCATATTCGGGTATATTTGTAAAGCTCTCAAACAATTTGTACATCAAGATAATCATACCTTGTGGCGTAAGCCGTCATGCGCTTCAGTAATTTCCATCAACACATTCACATACATACCGACCAGCGTTGGTTTTATGTGCGCTTGAATTTCGCGATTCGCGGTACGTTTTGTCGAAACCGAGCGATGCGAACAAATATTGTTTTATTTGCGAGGGATTTTACGTTTGTTGAATGTAAATTCACGCCCATTGTTTTCGGCTATTCAATTTTACAGGTATATATATACATATATATTACAAAAGCCTGCGCTCATCATAAAAATTCCTAAAATGAGCTGTGAGATGAAAAGATTCGAAAAGCTTTCCGCTCTTTTTGGCGATGCGCGAAAACTTAGCGCTTCGGCAATTTTTTTATTTAATTTAACTTTGTCAGCAACTTTGGTGAATAAGAAAGATCGCCCGGTGTGAGTGATCCAATCTAAGTTTTACGAAAGAATATGTTTGTGTAATTATATTTTTTCGTATATTACTTGAGTTGAATTAGATTATTATCTAAAGTTTTTTTGTTTGTTGACAACTCCATGGATGAAAAATGTACGGCCAGTTTGTTTACATTAAATAAGAATGGAAATCCACTCACGTCAGGGAAACCCGTCAATATTTATGATTTATGATCGTTGTTGTGATTTATTTATCAAGCGTTTGGTGCTGTCGAGAACAACATAAAATCTTGATGGGAATCAAAATATTTTAGATTAGACCAAGCGCTATATATATATTTATTTCTATTTTTGTTTAAAATAATTTTAATATTATTTCCACCACGTTAAAGTCGTTAATACGTTTGCTTCGTTTGAAGTGTTTTTCTATGTAATTTGTGCATCATTTAAATGATCAAATTAGTTACACCACAGTGTAAACCAGACATTAATCCGCTTCTAATGGAAATATTGCGCCGCATTCAAATCGTGATTGCAATTTTGCAAATAAACTGATTAATTTGCCCCCGCGACTACTGGAAAATTCCCAATTGGTTGTGAATAATATGTGCGATCCAATGCGCTCCGCGTGAAGCAAAATAAAAGCAATAAACAAATGGTAGCGCGTGCGCTGCCGCCATCGTGCCCATCGTCGATGGCATGAACGACAATTGGGTAATTGAGCGCGCAAACACTGTGAGAATTCCGAACATTGAAAGTACAGCAACATTCGCGTTACAGTGTAGCGCAATATTGGCGACATTGTAGCAATCGAACAAATCCGACTAGAGAGCACGCAGGACGCAGGACGCAAGAGGGCAGACGGACAGCCCGGCAGAGAAGCTATTAGATGTCAGTGTGCGCGTGATGCAAACGCCTCGATGCCATTAAACGTGCCAGTCGCATCCGGAGAAAGAAAATGATGAAAAAAATACAAGCGCTGGGCAATAAAAGACTGAGCTTGGTATTGACGTTTGCAATTGCCATTTTTAGTCCTTTCATCGATTCTTCCACTACATGTTTTTCTATAAGAATTAATTTAAATTTCAATCAATTTACAAATGCGATAAAATGTTTATGTGTAACATTAAAATAATTTTGGTCTATAGATTGTAACGCACGTAGAAGCACTACTTACTTATTAAATCTTCGACGCGCGTTAATTTTAACAGAGCGACATGATGAGATGAACTTGTCTGCATGCATAAACGTCGAGCCAACCGCTTCATAAGCCCGTTGTTAAAGTTTGATTTAATCTTGGCACCCTCTTAATATCTTGCCGGTTTGCACGCCTCGATTCGCATTCATATCTGCACGCTGCGCGTCTGCGCGTTAACTGATTGTGTATTCCTTAAGCAGACAAGAAATGTAATTTCCGGCGCGTCAGCGCGCGAAAAACTGTCGCTGGGTGAAAAATCCGTAAACTTGTGTTGCGCTCAGATTCTTAGAGAAGGAAATTCATAGTACGTACCTAGCAATATGCCCTCGGGTCTGTTTTACAGTCGTATTTACACGATAATAAATAATATTTCTGTGGCACGTAAATAATTTCTTGCGTATTTTATATTTTATATTCGTTTTTAACAGAAAAATACAAAATTTGCTATTTCTGGTTCATTATTCGATTTTTTTCAATGACAATGGTAAGAATGGTAATGCTGTTGTTATATAAACCGATTTTGAAAACATTGGAACATGCGGGGAACAAAACTTTATTGTTCTTGCACAATTAGTACTTTTTCATGCCTGCTCGATTGGAAATTAATGCAAAAAAGAAAACAGCGCACAAAGTTGGGCGTCGGACGGGTCGCTGCGTTTGCGTTGAAAAGTTTGTATTTTGTAATCCTGGAGAATTGCCAGGATCAGCGGATATTCGGGACGGAAAGTTTTATCAGCAAATTCAAGCTTTATTAAATAGATTAGATAGAAATTCCTTTTCGGAGCGCGCTCGCATCCGAATCGGACAAATAGAAAACTGCGAAAACTCACATGACGTTAAAAGCTAAGATGCGGATTGGTGGGTAGTCCTCGTATCGACAGCGAGTGGAAGCAAGATGCGGCGAAAAGCGGCTGGGCAAACGAGCGCGACGTGCTGCTTTATGAATTGATTTATGTTTATTTGGCAAATCTTTTCGGCGCGTCTCTTTTGCATTTTGCATGCGCCCGGCGCCTTCACTCCGCTACCCTCCAGGTTGAGAACACTTTGCGAAACTTTTCAATTTTAATATCAAACATTTGCACATTCAAGAGGATCGCACTTTTGAATAATGTGGCATCCATTTGCTTTAAACGTCGAGTGGAGGATATTTTTCGAAAACGAGCAATAAGCATTTGGATTACAGAAATAAAGAAAAAAAAATCATCATGAAAACACACGAAAGGAAAAACTATCAAAAGTTCTATTCAAATATTAAAACGCCATAAAATGTGCGAGTGCCATTTGCGCATTGCTGGGATTTCAGCTAACAAAAAATTATCACTCTTTTATATTCCATTTCCGGAAATATGATATATTTTCTTGCACCTCCCGTTCGTTTTTTACTCCATCCGCAGCGGTTTCTTTTTTTGGCGAACATTTTTTACTCCGGCTTTCACCCCACCTCCGCCATCTTTTGTTCGACGTTTCTTCTGCTCCTATTTTTTCCGTCACGGTTCGTGAGACAATACAGTTTTTGTTTATCGACGCAGCAGTACTCCAATACAAAGGAATATTCATTTCGATTTGATTAATGTACTCCTGCGGAGTGGGCCGCTAAAAGTCCTTTTGTCGCAGGGACAACATCATTCTTTACCGGGCGCACTTGATTGACTTCTGGGAACACGTCTCGGAACAAGCAGTCGATGTGTCTTCGTCGGTTAATGTGACTTTTTTTTCGGCGTCGCTTTAATTCCCCGCGCCTGTTTGCACGCCCGTCGTTTTTCTTTTATGCCTTACTGATTTCATTCTTAATTCCACAATGCTTCGGGGCCGCTTCCGCCTCATGAAGTCGATTTCTCTATTCGTGCGCGGTACGGCCGAGCGAGTTTTCTTTTCGAAACGGACAAGATTATATGATCCTAAGGGAAGAAACGAGCAATGGAGGGACAAAATAAGGTAATGCATTTGTTCTTCCAGTTTGGGGGGTTAATACGACCAAAGTACCCCACTAAAACACAAGTAGTTCACAAAAAAGACCAGAAAAGCAAAACAAAAAACAACTTTTAGTAAAATATTTTTTGACTTCTTTTCTATTTCCCAGCTAAAATGTCCTGCAAAGTCGAAAAAAAAGTAGCTGCCGAGTAATATCTATGTTTTCGTAGATAAGAACCCCGAATGGCGGTAGTAATGGGAGAAAGATGGTCGGGTTCTGGATGAGCTTCCAGGCGTCGCGCGCGTTCCACCTTCGCGACACGCCATCGCAAGATGGAGGAGTCGAGCGCGTTTGCACAAGGGGGTAATGATCGATAACTTCGTCGAGCGGTTTCGCTAAAAATTCGAACCCATCAATCGACCATTATAAACGCATCACCGACTCCCTGCAACCGCATATTTTTCACTCGGCGTTACCAACCTCTTCTTCCGCGTTCCTTTTGCACGCTCCTCCGCCATTCTCTACGTGCTGCAAGCTTAGACCTAGACATTATCCATCACGCGGTATTATATTTTTTACTCCTTACGCTTATTTTGCACTAAAACCACACAATAAAAAAATAATAACCAGGTAATTAATTTCTGTACAACCAAAAAAAACCTTATTTCAGTTTTTGTCATTATCCATTATTTGCAGGACAAAATCCGCACAAAAACTATAATAAGATTGTAATCGTTTACGACGTGGTGTTAACAAGATCTCCTACGCAGTGTAATTCCACTGTTTTAATCTGTAAATCTTTGCGAAATTAACCAATTATAAAACTGAGCTTCTTTGTGGAATATTTCGGATTTATTTTGATTATTCAGCGTGTAATCTTTTTGTGGAGCGTGGGATTTTTTTGTTATGTAAACGCCGCAACGACGCAGATGTTTTGCGGCAAGAAGAAAAACAAGTCGCTTGGGAATCGCACGTTTTTTGGGTTCAAAGGGTTTGCGCGCCGAGTTTGGACTGAGGCGGAGGCGTTATAAAAAAAAGGAGCTCGCGCGACCAAATCCGCCTGGAGACAAGACGCGCGCACCAGACCGGGATAACCGTAAATGTGCCAACCAGACGAAGGTATTACAATATAGAACGAGGCGGCCGCCATCGCACAGATAACGAAATCCCCATCACCCATAATACATGCATTTCGCAGACCTTTATAAACCCCCGGCTATCGGCCGGCACAGATATGTATCCGCCAATTAAAATCCGTACTTGTTATCACACCGTGTGCCCTCTTTATGACACCACGTCAGAGAGGTCAGACCACATTTTGCACATACATGATTTTACGATTTTATTCCAATTCCTTGTTGGTTTATCACCAAATTGCTGGAGTGGTGTAATGGACTTCATGTTGGTATTGTAATTGCAAACTTTGCTTATATTTTACTTGTATTCTTTGTTACATGAGTTGGTAAGCAATGGGTTTCGTTTATTCCGGCTCACATTAAAGTCCAATTAAATTGCGAATTTAATAATCGCAATTCCGGCCCCACCCAGGTTGGATTACAAGCAGTGCGTAACAGCGGATGCTAATTTGAAAACGTTCTGAACAATACTCAATTTCGAAGGCGTGAGCTATAAACATCTTTGGGAGGTGCGCAATGAAACGGACTGCAAAACGTAAAACCCCCGAAAGGAAAAAGTAACAATTTCGAACAAATAAGTTCCGCTTTTACTACCGGCCGTTGTGAAACGACTTTGAATTCGCTTGCCAAGTTTTAGCCTTGGCATCAAATTTGCGTCGTATTCATTTTCTTTCACCCTCCAATAAGGAAACACAAAAACTTCGAATGAGGGTCGGATTAGGGTGGAAAATTTTATTAAAAAATACACACGATATTAATTTTTTGACTTTATTTCTAGATTATTCTGGACGAGAAATTTGTGGGTGACCAGAGGAAATTCTACATTGTTTCCGAGGATTGTTCCGAACGGACGCCTGGTGAGGAACTTCATCTTGTGCATGGGAAATAAAGTGTTACAAATTGTGCTTTAGTTAAGTGTGCCGGCAAGTCGGCAAACTACAGTAATTCGTATCGACCACAATCATGCATAGACAATGCTCTCCGCCGCCAATGCGGGCGTATTTTATGCAGCGCGCAGCGTTTGCCAAATCGTCGCACTCAGATAATAAATAAACTGAAGCGAAGCTCACGATACGCGATAATAAAACACCATTTAAATGGGATGCTGCGTCAGCTTGATTTCGATGCATTTATTCAATTGTTTGGGGCTTTTAACTTAACTTGTAAACTTTATTCGGCAATAATGCATACTGCACAATGCGTAAAACTTTTTATTCTTCTTCTGTTTCCACTTATAAATAAAGTGGCTTATTAAATATTACATCCACCATGGGATGGCGGAATCCACTCGGTGTGGATTGTGAAGAATCGCAGAAGAAAGATAAGTGGCGGTGCGGAAGCGAAGTTAGGTGAACTAGAATAGAGCGTGAGCTGTGGGGGTGGAAAGTGCGGCGGTGTGGCGAGAGAAGCGCGATCCTCGTTGCAGCTCACGTCGTCGTCAAGCAAGGCCCTCGGCCCTGAGAGGGTTCAAGTCATTCCTCATGTCTAGTGGCCAAGATTTACTGCTATTCATCTTCTAAATAAAAAAGGACACCCGGATGGGAATACCATCCACCCACTTTCTGGGTAATTTGCCTCGACTTTTTATCTGTTTCAATGTTTAAAAAAAACCCGAACCAAACTGAAATCCGACTTGACACAACGCGAAAAAAGGGCCCTCATGCGACAAACTGATAAAAACTTGCTTGCATTGTGGTTCATTCTTATCCCCGCTTTGAAAAACTCAAAAAGAAAAAAGAAACTATAACACGAGATCGAGTGGGAAGTTACTTGAAATAAAAGTTGAGGTTCCGCAATGGCGATAAGAGACAAGAAATGAAATTATCCTCAATGTAGGTACGTTTTCATTCGCTTCCGGTCTAATACGCCGTTCTGAAATTGTGCCATTTCGTAGTAGCTCTGTCTCGATAATGTTATCCTCCTGTTCTCTCCACGCGCCCTTCGATGAGATGATGACATCAATATGCAGTGAAAGCCGCGTATTCGAATGTTCCGGGTACAATTGCGACCCTTTTGGTGGGCTACCTGCCATACTGGTAGAACTTGTGCATACTTGGCTGGGAGCGATTGTAAGATTTCCAGTCGTTGGCTATTCACGTCGAATCGAAGTGAACCGAAACGGAGCGAATTCGCAGCGTGCTCGCATTACGCCATTCGAAGCAGCTTTCGACTTTGAATTTGCTACGATCCGGAACACAGACGAAATGAAGCCTGGAAGCTCGACGTCGAACGACGTGCATTAAGTGCAATTGAAACGAGCGTGGCGATCGCGCGGTCGTGTCGAGCGGACGGCCGTTATTGTTCTGATAATGCCGTCTGGGCTTGTATGATGACTTGTAACGTCCAGTCGAGAGGATAATTAACGCGGAAATACTCTCAAGATTTTACGGTGGGATTGCTTTAATGTGCACTTAGACATTTTTTATTACCCGTGATAAATTCACTCTTTATTATCTTAATTTTAAATTTTATTATCTACCACCCTGTATAATATTATTTGAAAATTAATTAAAGCAAATATTTTACGCGTAAATAAATATTTGTTATTTTCTTGTTTCGGCGTGTTGAAATTAAAAATGTAATATGTTTTTGTTAAAAATCATCCACCGGAAAAAATCGTAGTTTAAACATTTGCAAATTGGTAAATGTTGATGTTTTTTTAGATCGGACGACATAAATCCACGCGTAAAATTTATATTTGCAGACGGCCGTTTTCAATTTCCAATTTTTCGATATAACACGCTGGCAATTTTCAATTTTCGATTTTAGCTGCACTCTTACTGGTCCTAGGTGTGTGCCGGTGACAAGTGTATTATTAAAAGCATGATTTAAGCATCGGATTACCGTTACCATTACCAGCTATAAATCGCGCTACAACGGCGCCCAACAGCGGACGGCCGTGTCGTGTGCTCGCCGGCGCCAGTACATAAAGTAAATTTCGTTCTGAAAAAGAGCACCGTCGGACGCTTTCCAAAACACAAATACATTCATAAATTTCACGACGCGTCGCAGCGCTTTTCCCAGCCTTATTATTTTTGTTTACGGCGACAGTGTGTGCATAAAGGAATAACGTTAGTTTTGTTAGCCACTGGCATTTACATCGCCTGCGACCAAAATTTGAGTTACGCATTTGTGTTTGCGTTGTGAGTTGAAAGTTAGAAGATCGTTTAATGCAAATTTAACACGTGCAATCATCATTAAATCGAGTCGTCCGCTTTATGGACCACATTTTGGTGCGCAATATCCGGCAGCCCGGCGCCTCCACCAACAATGCCTCAGTTTCCGGAAATATTGAATTGTTTATATTTAATACCCGTTGGCGTCACCACCTACAAGCGCATATTTTAATAAAGCAGCCGGTGCGACAATAAAAATTATGCGAGGAACATTTTTAACGACTACACCCTTACGAAAAAACTTGCTTGCGCTAACGTCCCAACTTTTTTGTGAGTGTCATATTTTTGTTTGTCATTATCTTTTGTAACCTTTTTTCGTGCGCTTCTGAAAATTTATTTTCAAATGTATTTTTGCTATAATGGTGCGTCCCGAGAAATCCTTTTGAAAACAATTTCGTAGCACAACATCACGTTGGCAAGCAGACGCGTTATTGCCAATAAGCCCAGTTACACATAATATGGGAAAATAAACATTTGCGCGCATCAGCATATTTGCATGTATTCACCCACCTACACGATCGGTCTTGCCAATGCAAATAAAAGCTACTGCGGCGCATCAAAAACTCCATGCGAAGTACAAACTGCAAAGATGTAGAATATGTCAACTTCTAAAGGATTCTAAACATCGACATTTTTCTTGCGCTCCATGAATGCAACACGCGCATTCGTGTCGCTATTCGAAATGGAATATGTTTCTAAGGAAGCTTGTAATACAAGACGGACGCATGGCGCATATTTATTTTTGTGCAAATATTTTCCCACTTTGCACTTGAGCATGTCTACAAGCGGGTGCGCGCGCGTTGCGGAAATTGATGGTTACGCAAATGAGCTCGAGCACTATTTTTGCGCGTCGTGTGGGAGGAAAAAGCACGTTTTGAATTACGTTGTAATTATTTCCACAGGCGCTGCCGTGCGCGGGTAATTTACTCGCCGTGGATGTGCGCTGCTCTAAACGATGAAGAAAAATGAAGCGGACGAAAGGATGATGGGGATAAGAATTATGTTATTATGCAAATTATGCGGACGCCACTCACAACGACCTTCTTTGTCGTTTGCCCCACCAACATATTTGCATATAGATTATAGATTTAATAATCGATAAACACGCATATACAGCGCGTTCAATGCATTAAATAAAAAAATAAATTTTATGAAAAGAAAAAAATCTTGCGTGTAATGTTAAGATAATTAATGTCTTGTTGACATACAATGTCACGTCATGTCAGGCTTAGGAGTGGCACCATATTAACATCTAAATTTACTCGAGAATGTCGACATTCCCTTTCTTCACATTGTTCTCCATCGTACGCAATAATACGCATTCCACGCACATTACGAAACGCTGAATTCTTGCTCTAATTTTTTGGCCATAAAAAGTTCCCGGAAGCAAATCAACCGTAAACATCCTTAAAAAAATCTGCGAACCAAAACAAGCAAATTTATTTTATAAAACCCCAAATAAAATTAAAATATTTAAATATTTTATATTGTTGTGTTGCTAACGATTTGCCAAAAATAAAGTGAAATTCAACTCGGATTTGGTGGCAAATTTGGGTGATTAATTAATATTCAGTGTGATATTCGTGGTGTAGTTATAAGCTGGTGTTTTTCGTAAAGTTTCGCTTGATTCAATAATTACGGTTGTTACGTAAACGGAGCGTCGGCGTCGTTTGTATCTCGCGGCGCCGTGTAACTTTTCCCATTTAATATGAAATTATTGTGGTTTTACTAAGCGTCGCGGCGTTTCTTGCCAGCCCGCTCGCGTCGTGCGGCTTGTTCGCTTGTCGACTCCACAAGCCGGAGAATATGGATATTGTTGAACGGTGAATATAATACATCCGACTGGCTGCTTAGCCAAGCTATCTGCTGGAATTCTCATAGGAAATTTGACAAATGGTTGATATATTAGGAGGCGAAATCGTGGAATAAATTAGTTTAGTTTTGCTCACGCCCACACTCGCGGGATGCCACCGCACAAGTTTCTTTTGTTCGAAACCAACGTTCTGTGCCTGCGTATTAGTATGAGTGTAAGGGGTGCTGAGAGATAGTTGAAGCCGGAGGCGTAAGTTGCCGCCATTTAGTACGTTATTAAAGTTATTAAGTGAAGTTGTTGCTCGCGCGATAAATTTTTGGTACGCTCGCCAAACTCTTTGCTTGCAAGTCGGCGTGTGAAGTGGTTATTAAGCGGACGTATTCATTAGAAAGCGCTCGAGAATAGTGCGGTCGCAGTTGGTTTATCGATTTGAAAGTTAAAGTGGAAAATCAGGCTTGATTGCGAGACAAATACGCGCTGAGCAAACAAAGACGAACGAGCGTGTCAATAAACGTTTCCTTGGTTAGTTTCGCGTCACTTTTGCATTACATCAATATTTTTACTTCGCAGATTCAAAATTTGCAAGCGCTTTTCTTCTAGCTCTTTTAGTAACCAACTTTCTGCGTCGTTATAAAGTACGCGGCAACGTCGCTCATATCTTCTGTATGGATTGAATCCACTTTTTTAGAAATGCACAACACGCAGCGCCCGCGAGCACCGGATGTGGAGCATACACGATAAGAAGCGATATACTGATTTCTCCAAGGACTATAAGAAGGCCGCGCGCAATTTTCGTGATTTTCCCGTTTCGTTCTCTTCCGCTTTTAAAGCCCATGTCGTTCGCGCTGCCAGCATAACGCGGCGCAAACGCCGGTGTTTATATAACTCATTCTAATTCAATATTTTATGCAAAGCAGAATGAATATTTTCCAATTTCGTTCAATTTCTGGAACGTGCGTCACGAGCTTAGAAATAATGACGGGGCGCTAACGTCAACACCCATGTCTTGGCTACGTATATGTGCGTGTTCCGGAAATGCAATAAGCGCGAGAGACTCACGCGATGAAATTAGATAAGTGTACATCAACGACCTAAAGACAGGAATGAGAAGGATGTCGGCAACAAGGAGAATTTTGGCGACTAGAACAACAACAAGAAGACAGAACAAACCCTCGATTATTAGACGTACTTAGAGTCGAAAGTTTGTTTCCTTCTATATGTGTGTTGTGTGTGTGTATGTGTTGTGCCCCGAATGAAACTTAACTCAATCAATCTTGGGTAACGCCGGATGTTCAGAGGGTCGCTGGTCGAGCCCTAGGTCCCTTTTCGGGAATTAGCGCAGCGTGAACGTCGAATGGACCGGAATCGGTCGGCGACCGAACGACCCTCTTTGCAGCACAAACAATTTCAATTGTTTCGGAAAAAATGTTTCCGGTATCTTTCCGCAGCGCGAAACGTGTTGGCTTCAAAGCGAACCTCCACTTGGATGGATGCAAACGTAAACGTGTTGGTGGTGGGCAGTGCGATATGATTTAATATACGCAGACGCATAAAGGCAAATAAAGATATTTCATTCGCTTTTATGCCGAGTGGCGGGCCGAGAACTGCGCAGCGCTTTCCTAATAAAAACGATGTAATAAAACGTTTGTAATAATTTACGCGCGCGCGACCGGAGGATCCGAGGACGAGCGTAGGGCTTTGTCGTTTCGTAGAAATTGGTGTTACTGAGGGTATTCCGCGGTCGTCGCCCGCATTTTGGCTTTAGCTCATCGTGTCACGCTTTTATTGCTTCCAGCTAATACCTAGAACCCCACATTCCAAGACTATATGAAAATATTTATTTATTATTAGAGCGAAATTTACCCGTGGTAGAATGTTAATGATAACGTTTTAATTTGAGCTACTTGGTAAACATCCGAAAGTTAAACATGTCCCGAAAAACTCGCGTAGAAAATGGAAATGTCTAAAAGTTGCACGAGGAGTAGAGTGAAGTGAACGGAAGTAACGCGGTGCTCAGTTGGTGGTTACGAGACTCACATCGTGGCAGCGGTGGAGGCGGTGGCGATGATGAATAAGTTGCTGGCCGTGTTGGCACACAATAAAAGTGAGCGCCCACCTCTAGACTAACTCGCCATAATGCATTTATGGAGGACGTTAAGTGCCGCAACGTTTCCGCAATTCTTCCTCAAGTGTTCCCCTTACATTTCTCACAATCATAAAAACTATAATAAAAAATTATTGTGTTAGGACAATAATATCAACTTATAATAATTTCAAAAGACTAAATAAATATTAATCCATCAAAAAGTTAAAATTTTAAGGCAATTAATCATACGTAAAGCCGAAAAAAAGTTAAAGATGAAAACTCAATATGTTAAAGTTGAACCGTCTAAAATTTGTTACACTTGAACAAAAAATCGCAGTGTGATTCGAAGCAGGAAGCCCAGAACGTTGCAAAAGCAGCCCGCACACACCCCCGAAGGCTATATTATATCGGTGGAAATGCCATTAACATAAATTTAACTGCTCCGCCAGCCCAACTTTTTATTACTTTACTTTATTTTCTTTCTTTTTGCCAACGACTCGCTTGCCGGCATGCCGACTAACAACATTGCTGGCCCAACATCAAGCTGAGCGCAAGCAGGAAATTTTTTCCGTTCTGTTTTAAACCAACGACCATTTCGCTCGGGGTGTACGATCGCGATTCCGAAATGAGTTTTTATTTTATCCACGCACAGTTTAACTCAAAGTTCGTGCAGTTCAACCGCAACTTTTGAGTTATATCACAGAAAAATTAATTCCTGTTCGATTTTATATAAAAAAAATAAATTACTCAATTTATTTCCAAGTTTTTATGCAATGAACAGAACTATTGCCATACCAATAAGTAAAACGTGTAGTTCGATTAACGTGGAATTGCTATAAGCAATCGCCGTGCCCGTCGATGATTGTATCTGGTAGAATCTTGAAAATCTTGGCGCACTAAAAGGTAAAGAATGAAAGTGCGGATTTTACCGATACTGGATGGAATACCTACGATATAGGACGACTTGCGATTGTGATTTATTCACGACGTCGACGACATTATCATAATCGTCTTGTAGCCATGGCAAATTATCCTCGCGCAGCGCGTATTCCCTCGGCTGCACTTTACGTTCGTGCATCATCTCGTCGGGCCATCGTAACGTTGCGTTTCTGCTTGAATTTGCGAGGAAATAAGGATGTTCATTCGTGCGCATGACTAGTGCAAACTAAAAATGTTATTACTTCATTAAACTCACTTATTTCACAATATAAAGTAATTGTTACCTTTGAATATTCTTGAATGCAATAATGGAGGAAAATATTCGTAAATATCGTAAATATAATTATTATTTGTAAACGGTAGAATATCATAATAACGGCTAATTTATATTTTGACGTTTGACAATTTTATATTATGACATAAATCGGTCAAATTATTATTTGTTTTACTGAATTTTGGATATACTAAAATATTTATTTTCTAATGCAGAGTGATATATTATTTTGATATTTCTGAAGGCAGGAAAAGGAAATAGGTGTATTTTATTTGAACGCTAAAGCAAAATTTATTATTAACTTTATTATGTATGTGTTTTGTAGCAATGCGACATCTAAGCGTTCAATAAATCAATTGAAAGCTTAAAAAAACAAGAAGAATATTTATTTCGTTTTGTTTCGTGAATTTTGTCATCTCATCGATTCCTAATCGAATTTTAACTTCATGAATGTAGTAATCCACTAGAGGAAATCAATTATCACATGTGAACTAGTATAGAGATGCAATTTGCATAATTTGCATATCTAAATTTCGTCCTGTGTTAGTCCTACGCGTCATCTGCATATATTATCTACATTTGATTGTACTTCAATTAAAAACATTCCAACACGTTTTTTTTAAATTTTATTCTTTTAGATAAAAAAGTGATGATGTGGTGTTTAAATGATAATGTGAGGATATGAGGTCGCGCTTTGTGATTTTGCTTACCACGGCGACATGGATGCGATAGTGGTTATCGTGAATTATTTACACTTTGCTGGCACGCAATTTCGACATTCTAAATTGTTGACGAGCGTTTGCACACAGTTCACATACAGGTTAACAAGGTGCGCGCTTCGAGAGTCAGTTGTCTGGCGCCTCCACCATTCTGTGTGCTCGCGCCTCCACCACACGCGCAGAATGTGCGTTGAAGTGGCTTTTGGTTCACGCACAAACAAATATCGGATAACATCAATACCTAAAAAGCAAGTCAATTGGATTTGTGCAAACGTTCCAATGTTTTTAAATTTTAATTAAAACGAAGACAACTAGAATGTTAAATTATAAAAAAATCTACTTTTTACAAAACGTTAAAATGCAGTAGAAAACGAAAACACTTTAATAAATGAGTGTACAAATGTTCAAAGCAATTAAACTTTCTGTTTTGCAAGTGCTATTCATTGTGTCACACCTTGAATCCACACTCTACGCTGTAGTCATTAGGCAACACCAAAGTTACCGTCCGCGTCGCATCGCTCTCGCCTGTAATTAAGGAATTAAACCCCGGATTAACGACAAATTAATATTTAACCGCTCAATTTGCAAAATGCATTCAATATTTTAATACATCCTGCAACTGGAAATAATATTCAAGCGTGAGTTTACATGGTTTTTGACTGAGTGTGTTTGATGATAAAATTAATTAAAACGCCATAGCGAGTTTGTTCAAGATAAAATCATTGTGTTGTCAAATCCAATCGTTGAATTGTCAAGGAGACAAATTGAATAGCTACTCAACAAACTGTTTCATTTGCAATGGATGGAAATATTATTTGTGTTTCACCTGTCGCTACAAAGCTCCACGCTTCATCTAGACAGCTCTCGAGCGATGAATAGATTGAACGCAGTCAAATCACAAAGGCACTTATAAACAGTGCAGTTGACGTATTGTGTAATAGTTGCGTTTAATTGGCAAATTTGGAAATTGTATTCATTGGTTGCTGATTGCATTAAAACCAGTCACGCAATATTTACGTTTTTTTTCATTTGCACCTGATTTAATATCATCGGCTGCACGTATTGATTTTTCCACTCGAAATGAACGCGACAATGACGATATGATGAAATGATATTTTTGAATTTGTAATTGTGAATGCGGCCGATGTTGTCGCGCGAGTCGAGTAGTTAATTTGTGCGCACGAGTGGGTGCACTGGTTTTGGATATTAAATATTAAGAGTGGCAGCCGCGCATCGGGGAGCCGGAAATGTTAAAAATATGCTGATATGTGGACAGCCATTACCGTTACACAATTACAGGCAGTCGATTTGCATCCCAGGCAATATCGCCTCGTCTAATGGCCGCACATCTGCATATTTTCACATTGAAATAGATTTAGTCGGAATGCGAGGGTCCAGACCTAAAACCGTGTAACCATGTTAAGCTTGTTTGCATTTTTCCTCCACTAAGCATACACGTTGTGTGTTTTGGTTTCGCAAAGGCTTAGGAGTCGGGCGTAATATCGGCATGAAAAATTGCTATGGTATGTCGGAGCTTGGCGCGATTGCCGATGTGGCGGTAGTGGTGGTGGCGGCGGCAGCGTTGCGCTCTCCGGGGGATCTCGATAATGACTGATAATGGCGCGGCATGTGGGCGAGATGAACTACATTATGTCCGAGCAACGGGTCAGCATGTTCAGCTATTACATCGCGGAGCACATCTCCCACACGCGGGGATCCAACGAAATGAGGGCTCAGCAGTTGAGCACTAGTCGGCTGGGCCAGTAAATGAAAGAAAAACGAAAAACGCATTTGGGAATATTAAGTTCCAGCCTTAAAAATAAAATTCCAACTTGTTTTCATATAAAATCTTTGGTCGATGTTACAATGTAATATATTCTTTTCGTGGAACATGTTGCAAAGATAAAATATTTACTAGTAATTGTATTACAGCTTGAAATTCTTTGCTTTAATATCTTTTTGACTTTGACTTACGCCTAGATCTAGGTTATGGCTTTGCGAAAGGATAACTTTTATGGTTATTGTGAGAAAGCCGTGTGCATCATGAGTTCGTAATAATAAAAAAAATCGTCGTAAAAACTTTTATGTATCAATTTACGAAAAGCAAAAAATATGTCTTTTCGATGGTGTTTCACACTCCGACGCTCCAGCAAACCCCGGTGCGGGTCCCTGGTCGGTCACTCCAAATACTTTCCGCTTTTTCTCCGACGCAATAAACCACCACACCTACGTCCGCCATGTGAGCAAACTTTTCGACATCAACATTTTCCTCGGAGTGGTTCCACACTCACTCTCTCTTCATCTCATCCGAACTGAGTGGAGTTTTACCGTGCTGACAACAAGGTGGAGTAATACATTGCAATTCAGCGATTATTTACGACTCCAAACTTTTCCTCAACTCAACATTAATTAGTAATACAGCCGGCGTTCAGCAATGTCCTCGTTGCCGGTTTTCCACCGAATAATATTTGCATCCGGCGGGCAAAAATAATCAATTCGCGCATTCAGCGAGCGTGAAAACAGCGCAATTATTTTGTTTTGAAGCGAACAGCTTACCGAGTCCGCCCAGTTTGTGGGGGTATTGTTTTTCGTGCACTGCTGCGTCCTGCAGTGTTTGTTGTGCCGCTTTGTCCGTTTCGTGTTTTTGCAAAGCGGAAAGCTCCTTAACTGAAGCGGGTTGCGTTCGAGCGGCGGTAGAATTTCGGAATGAAGGAATAAGTGCAAGGACGCATGAAAAATCCAACCTTATTTATCCTTATCGCGTTTCCGGGTGGTCGACGCGCGTTTCGTCGTCGTGTCGTCTGCTAACTGTTTCAATTCGCCGAGTTCTTCTTACGCACGCTCAATTGTCACACGCCCGCTTCATTCCGGACATCCGGATAATGGAATTACGGCTTAATTAGACTGCTTGTGATTCATTAACAATAATTAATAAGCTTCAAGTTGTATATAAAAAATACGCCGACGTTTTTACTCAAACAACTGTATCTTAAAAGTAGAAAATGATTTCCATCATTTTGTGCGTCATTACTATTCTAAGAATGTATTTTTTGTCATCAGTGGAAACCGTTTTTGCTCTTTTCATATATGCCTAACAACTAACAAAACGTGCTGCGTGGCGGCGTGAAAAATAAAAAAAACTTGCTTGATCGTTTTTTAAATATCTTTAGCAACGCATACAACTTCTAGTGCCCTTTTTCACTGGAATCCTTTGGAGCGAAGGAAAGCCACCCAAAAAACGAGCTCGCTCACCGAAAAGGAATGAAAGAATGAAGCATGAAGCGGTTTTTTACTGTTTACATTCGTTTCTTTGCGGCCGCGCGCTGCTAGCCAAAACCCAAGTTAAGTGATGGAATACTCGAATGGCACGTTATTTATCAAAGTTGCGAAAGTATGTCTTGAGGCGAACAAAAGCGGCCCTTGGCAAAATCCTTGCAGTAAATTGCACTTTGAACCCGCGCTGGTCCTGCATGCCGGCTAACGACCGTGACGTGTACTATTTGTTCGCCAGTACGCGAGTCGAGAGTAAATAACTAGCAATCGTTTGCTTAATTACCGCAGTGTTTGTTGGACCGACGTTCTATTATCTCGACGTTAATGTTTCGCAACATGAGGGTGAGCGCTTGTTGAGAAGACGCCCACATACAAAGTATGTTAAAACAAGTTGATATTTTAAATCAACAGCAGCGCTAGTTTACAGAGGTTAACCAGGTAATTTTAATTGTAATAACAAGGTGCAAATCTATAAATACAAGCTGTAAAAACAAGAAAAGCCTAGGAGCGTACAAGCTGAAATTAAATGTGTACATTACAACTCTAAGAAAAAGCTCTTGCACTAACAAGCGTAAAAATAATTTAGAACGTGTACACAAGCTGAGTACACTTGAGTGTTTTGCTCGTTTGTGTAATTATGGCATGCTTAGCATTGCGCTGCCCGGCGCCTTCACTATAATATATTAAGTATTCTCGCTGCTTTATTTACTCGTACTTTTTTCACGCTAAGCGGTGGCATAAAATAAATTTTGTCTATTTTTATTTTGGTTTGCAGTGTTTTTGAATTTTGACGAGCATAAAACGTTTCCCCACGTTTTCGCACTATAATAACATGGGAATGTTTACGAGGAAACTTATTTCGCCCCCGGCGTCTGAAGTCTAGACAATAATAAAAACAAAAATATATTCCGCCGCATGAAAGGAAGTCGCAGTCGTCGCAAGCGAAGCCCCGACTGTGCGATAACAAAAAGGCCATTGCGGCGTGGCGACGAGCAAGAATAGACGAAACGTCCGCAAAATTTTGGCACCGATGTAAAACGCAAGAATATATTTATTTGACCATAATATTCACAATATTCATTTTTGCGCATAAAGAGGCTAATTTATTTCGGCTTTTCCTTCCTTTCGTTGTTAGCCGTTTTATCACTTCAATAGATTTTTGTGTGCATTGTGTTCGTTTTAAACATTCTCGTTTTTTTTTTGCCTATTCAAATTCCTGAAAGCAGCGGTATTGTCAAATATGCGTAACGCTACGCATCCGTTGGAATTTTTTTTTTCATCATTGATGCAAAGAGTGTATTATTTAATTTCGTGCCCTTCAATTCTGGTTATTTGAGCCGTGCGGATCGCATTGATAAAGTTACGACAAACATTAGGAAATTATTCATATTGCGCGTTCGTTTCGCTTGAGTCACGAGTCGGAATATAAATTATGAAAATTGGCTCAAAATGTAAATTCAGCGATCTCCCTCGTCGCCCCGCAGCAAAAAAATGCGCTGCGCATAAAAGGTCTTTCTCGTTTTTAATATTTTTCTTGGCGCGGCCTCGAACACAAACATTAATGCCTTGTTACGAGTTGATATTGCAGCGCAAGGCAGAGAGGAAACAAAAAGCGGTTATATCTTTAATTAAAAGCGGCGGGGGTAATAAAGACATTAATAAACCTCGGGGCTTTTTCTCTCTGCTGCCGGCGTCATGATATCTAATCGGTTAATTAACGACACGAAACATATTACAATGGGACGAATTTAGCAGATTGCAAAGTTCACCTAGAATTTATATTCATAAATCATTATATAACAGAATTTTTATTAAAAACTACCCGTAAACAATGTAATATATTCAAAAGTGAGAAAAATTTGTTGTATACATTAAAATTAATTGTTTTAAAAGCATTTATGTGAACAAGTTAAAGAGCTGTAAGTGACGGCAAGACAAAATTAACACGTTTCCGACACCCCGTGTCAAAATTCCTGCGGCAGTGCCGCAACAATAAGTCAGTCGTCAAGAGTGAAACTCTCAGAGCGAAAACGTATTTACGGTGCGTGTGGTACGATGCGCCTGACGTGAAAATATTATAAGTCCATTATTTAAGGGGTAATATTGTATTTGTTAGTACGCGTAGTACGCTCCCGCGTATTATGCTTACAACTTACGCGCCCTGGCACGCTGATACACTGTGCGGCGACGGCGGCGGCGGCAACTAGGCGAATTAATTGTTGTTGTAACGCTGTAACGGCCGGATTCGCTGCGCGGATGTAGCGTACCGTGTAAGGAGCTTAACAATAGTCGCGATTGTGTGGATCTTGCGGCTTCCGACCAACACATACTCGCAACGCGGCGGTAAAGTCCACGAAAAGCGACTTTCTCGCGCACGAGAGCCGTGCTGCTCTTGCTTACTTAGGCCACGCCGGAACGAGAGTTAGAAGCGGAGTTATGCCCACGCACACGTGTAAACACAGACTCACTCAGAAAGTTGCGGATAGTGTAGCCCGGCGCCTTCACCAAGGACGTGCGCGAGACGTTACTGACAGAAACACGCCGTGTCAGACGTTTAATTTAAACGCGCACGTTGGGCAATCCAAGCAAGACAGTCGAATTGTTTAAATTCGGGTGCCGCACCATTTCTGCCGACGCTTGTTTAATAAGATAATTACGTATTGGGTTAACGGACGTTCTAGTCGCACAATGAGGGATTTACTTCGGTGAAGATATCCCTGATTGTAATTGTATGAGTGTGGGGGTGTTATTGCATGGAAGCCAATTAGTTCCATAGTATAAGTTTCATTTGTTCGATTTGCGCATCGCTGAATCATATTCTTTTTGTTTGTCGCAATTAAACGCAAACGCGTCTGACCTACATGTAGTACTCGTAGCAACGTGCCGCTTTGCATTCCGCGCGGTTTTCTTTTGTTTTATGCCGCGAGCAAAGTTTACGTTGATGTTGTGTTTGCTGCGGCTTCGTGGGAATACTCCGCGTGGCAAAGCTCGCCCGACCGGAAGTGCGCGTTTGCCAGCACCAAATTGAAAAAGAGTTTTCTTTAGCTGTGGCGGTTATGTTACGACTGCGTATATTTTGGTTTTTGTTTGCTGGATTCACGTTGAATTGCGTTTCGTGCAATTTTGTTCTCACGTAGGCAAAATAAAAAGCAACGTACGGATTGATTTGCGCAACGTGATAGACATGGACGCTGCAATCATAAAAAATAATTTACAAGTGACATATTTCATTTCACGCTTGGCACATAGAATGCTCCTTTTGCTCTGGGCGCGTTGGTTATTGCGTGACGAAGACTGCAAAGCACGTTTTACGTTTTTGCAGAGCGAAAAAAAAAAAGAGAACGACACGATGTCGCTGTCTGATGATATTTAATATTACGTTTGGCAGTCTGCATTATGTGCCGCACATGTATCGAGATTGGCTGCCGACAACGCAGCGTTCAAAGGTGCAAAAAGAGAATAAAAAAATTGGAAATGTTTATGTAAGAAACGAGCAAATTGAAAAATCCGCTTATGTTTTCAATTTTTTTTTGCACTTACACGCATGAAATGAATCGCAAAATTGAATTTTAATCTAACTTCTGTTTGTTTACAGGTGAAATGCTGCAATGGTGATACGTAGATGAAGAATATGAAGTGGTTGGTGAAGTTGACAGCGATACTTTTCGCGGTGACGCTTTTGGCGAACGAATGTTGTTCATGTCCAACTGCGTGCGTATGCAAATGGAAGAACGGCAAGCAAACGGTAGAGTGCGGCGACAAGGGCTTGCTGATCATCCCCGAGGGTATGGATACGGGCACTCAAGTGCTCGAGTTCAACGGCAACAATCTCCGCACACTGCACAGAGAGAAATTTCTCAAGATGGACCTGATCAATCTCCAACGAATCTATCTAGCAAGATGTCACATCCTCGTAATCGAGCCGGGAACATTCAAGGGTCTAACCAATCTTGTAGAGTTGGACCTGACTGGTAACGCAATGGAAGTTGTTCCTACAGCTGCGTTCCTGGACTGTCCATCGTTGATGAAGCTCACACTTAGCGCCAACCCAATCAAGATCATTCACAGAGAAGCTTTTGGTCATTTGTACTTCTTGCATACTCTGGAGTTAAGTGGATGTCAGTTGGAGAAAGTCGAAAGTGGAGCTTTTGATGGGTTGCAAAGTTTAGAGAGATTGAGGTTGGATAGTAACCAATTGACTACCATTGATGGTGCTAGCACACTATCCAAGCATCTTCAAGAGGTAGATCTACAGGGTAATCAATGGCAGTGTGATTGTAGAATGGTTGAGATGAGAAGTTGGTTAGAAGGTTATGAGTTGCCAACGAGTGTGGCGCCAATGTGCGCTGGCCCGCCGCGTCTTGCAAAGCGTCCCGTCAAATCGATACCGCGCGCCGAATTGGCCTGCCTTCCGGACGTCACCCCCACGACGTTCTATCTGGAGATCGCCGAGGGCAAAAACATATCGCTCCGATGCCAGATCAGCGCAGTGCCCGAGGCACACGTCTCATGGTGGTTCCAGGGCCAGTTGCTTCAGAACGACACCATGCTCACGCCAGACACCAGACTCATATATTATGTAGAAGAAGGCGGCGAGGACAAAAGGAGTGAGCTGTTCATATACAACACCAATCCGGAGGACAACGGCACGTTTATCTGCGTTGCTGAGAATACGGCCGGCGCGGTGCAATCCAATTTTACCATCCGCATCATACTAAAAGATGTACCGGGCCATGAGCTAGCACAGCTTCCCTTTGAATTTGTGCTGATCATTGTCTCCGCTACAGGGGTCTCTCTGCTTGTGATCTGCTTCGCATTAATCCTATCGATAATAAAATGTCATAGCGAGAACCGCCGCCGGAAAAAGGAGCACGCCAGTCAGAACCTTGTGCTCAGTCATTCAACCAAAGACAGTTTATTGCAGGAGAGTGTGGAGGAGTTTTCTGAACTGTCAAAGGAGAGTAGTGATCCAAGTTTAGTGCAAGGCCAACAAATGATGATGTATAGCAGTGCACAAACCAGTGAGGAGTTGCTACGTTCAATGTCACCGATTCTAGCCGCTAATCAGCTACGCAGTCCAGCATCTTGCTATCAACCAGAGCAGAATCCTGATCTCATTAGCGACGCCGAAGCACTGGGTGTAGGCATCGGCAAGCGGCATGATGGCGACGGTGAAGATAAACATGAAGCCGGCGGCGAAAATTTCGAATTGTCATCATCGAATCTCCACCAACAGCAGGCGTGCTATCTGCAACCCGTCCTCCTGCCGCCAGTCGTTGGCGTGGTGGAAGAGGAACAGCGATCTAATCGTGATTTATACAGGCTGTCAGCCGACGTGCATCTTAATCCCGTCGGATTGCTGAACGCCGCCAACTTTGCTAATGGCAGCTGCTACCGCACACTGCCGTACAATCGAGGCGTCAAGCGGCAGGCGTCGCTGCAGGAGACGCACAGGTATCATCGCGACGCCGAGTTCGCGTCGCCGCACGCGCCGCGCTTGTCCTTCGAGCATTTCCATCCGGCGAACGTGCGCTACACAGCCGACGGATATCCTGCGCGCGGCGGCGGCTGCTGCGACGCTGAACAAGAGACGCAATTCTCGGACACCGAGTCGTTACGTTCGTGTTGTTCTGCACCGGCGGTTCCATGGCTGCCGCATGCTGTCGCCACTCCACTCGTGTCAATCTTAAAACATCCCATCACAGAGGAGAGAAATATGCAGCTGAAAAAATGTGTGGTTGGCACACAAACACAAACAGATATTACTGCGCTTAATACAAAACCGGTGAATAGAACAGTAGCGATGAAAATTGCTGAGACACTCACTGAAAGCCCCGACGAAGGGTACGAAGGAGAAGAAAACCAAACAAAAATCTAAATCATGTAAAAATGTATGTAAATACTACCGACTAAAAGAATGTGTACTCCTAGTGACAAATAATTGTAACTGAGACATACCATAGCTTTAAACATACACACTTATTTAATGTATACAAGCAAAACACATAAATTATCCTTTTGTTAATTTTGTAAATAAAATTACATGACAAATATACAATATAAATATAAACGAGGTAACTGCGTTTTGTTTACTGCATTTATTTCAGATGTTGCAGCAATAATTCAGCTACAATTGACTTAATTAGAACATGACCACCAGAGGATGCAACCCACCACAGAATTCAGCACACTGACACCGCATCCAACGTGTCAAATGGATTATTATTATCATTCGGTCTGGATTTAATTAATCGCATCATCGACCGTAATGGGCGCACGTTAAATCGCGAGTGGCCGCTGCGGACGTAAAATTTGCACAAAATTACATTATTGTGGAAGCGGTAACCAGAACATCTGGTTTAGATTTTGAAGCATTAATTGTAATTATCACTAATACACTGATTAAATTCATTCTGATTATTTTAATTAAAATTGATTTGATTTGGCCGTGCGTCTCAAGTGATTAAGTTACATTTCACTATGAATTAAATCGTAGTGCTCGACGCATTTAGTGCGAATTACAGTTTGACCGATTAGTGATTTAGTACGTTGGTGACCCTGCTCAAGTTTGTACTTTGACATCGACAAGTGTGGCTCGATTTAACAGTTTGACCGGCGCCTTCGCCAAAAAGATACATGAAACAGAATAAAGTTACAATTTTATTTGTCTGGTGATACATTTTTAATTAAATCAGTTTTGCATATAGCAACTGAAAAATAAATTAATGCAGAAACGGAGTTAATTTAGAGGCATGGCGATTAATTTTACATTTAGTCAAAAAGCCCATGAAAATGCAATTCACATATACATGATCCTCGGTCCGAATAATCCGCTTTTCCACATTAGTTATCTAATTATTTCAAAAAAGCACCCACGCACACAACTATGCCTTTGGCATTTTGAAAACGCGTGGTAAATTCACATTAATCCGTTCTGAAAATTATCTACACCGTATAAAATTGATATATTTTATAATATTCCCAGCATCAGCAAAATAATAATTTGATTTAAATCTGAAATAATTAGGTTTCTCTTTTCCATCAATTATGCTTACAATGCTAATTGGCCAGGTCATTATATTTTCCTTAATTAATCATCTGCAATTTCTGATTGTCGTCGTTTTTATGATTCGATTTATAATTTGATTTTTGTTTGTTTCCAAACAATGTCTTAAAATCCACCGTCAGCGAAGCGTACGCAGATGTTGTGATTCGTATTTACTTAGCGGACTTTCCTCCTCATCCTGTTTGCTCCACTTTCAGTTCCAGCTACGGCTGCAGATTGCTTTCAGCGCTACACAGGACGTTCTGGTCGTCGCGTCCTCCCAGCCACGTCCATCCACGATACATGTCGGTTTTTTGCCCGTTGGCCGTTTCGCCTCTATTGAATTTATTTATCACTGCGACTTCGATTTATTGCACTTAAACTCTTCGATTTCCGGTTAAACACTGCGGACCAACAACTTCGGACTGGGTATTTATTTAGTTTTATTGGATTTTTTTGCTTCATTGCTACGCTTACGTTCAAGGATTAAATTCTCTTTTGCCTCGAACAAATTTTACTAACTTATATAAACGATGAGACTTATTCCTAGAGAAAAATTTAAATATCTGGAATTGTAGCGCTTAATAGCTACTTAAATAAAGTATTTCGCGCGCAGTAAGTTTTGCGAAGATATTAATCGCCTTGGAAACTTTACCACCGAGTAAATGCACTGTATGACGCCTGTTGGAATGGAGATACTTACACTCACTTCCTTCTAATTGCAATTAACTCAAAACTCTGATAACTATCATTTAAAAGTTAAAGATTAATTGTTTCGCCGCGCCGTTCAACTATTAAGTTCTTCAGATAGCAGTGGACTGTGATTAAACTTTTATGTCGAATAATTATACGGCGCTATTTTTTGTTTCCAAAAAAAATCACCGAAATTTATTACCAATAAATGTAACTTCATCAATGTGGAAAAATATTTGATGCTGAATTTTAATAAAATATAATATTGCTACGCAAAATTAATTTTTCAACATGTGTACGCTGCAAATGAATAAAATACTGAATCAATAATTTTTAATAACGCCCAAAGATGTAAAAATTGTACGACTACTCTTCCTATTCGAAACGTTAATTAATTTTAATAAAATTTAATAATATTTGATATTTCAAAATTGATAAAACTTGTAATGTTTATTTACTTTCAGCTATAGTAATCAACGCAATAAAATAAAACGGATAGAGCGGATTTCAATTTAATTCTATTTTTATTATTAAATCAATTTCCTAGAATAACGGGCGCAACTTTTCGTTTATGAAAATAAACAAATTTTCAAACCATACAAAAGTTGCTCGATTTAATTTTGCCATAATATTTATATTGTATATTCTCGTGCTTTCTAAAACTACATTTACAATTTTCCGATTCTAGCTTGGGGTTCAAAGGTATTTTAGCCCTATTTAAATCGAATCGAGAGTGCTCTCAATGTCATATCAACACGCAGGATTTCGTTTGCATGCGCTTAGAAAAACTCGTATTTCTATAACCATTCATTGTCGCCTTTAGGGTCGCATACGAAAAGCGAAGAGTTGAATGGGCGCGTCCCTTTCGGGCACGAAGCGAAAAAGTGCTGAGCGCTATACCTTTCGTCCTGAAAGGCGGAAACGAGCGAAAGAAGAGAAAAAACTTTTCGATTACTCTATTTTACTCGATAATAATGGACTGGACTTTTCCCTTTTTGTGCACGTGCCATATGCACGCAGCACATCTGCAAGCGCACGATTTTTTCTGCTTCCGACGCGTTTTCATCCCTTGAAGCTTACGCTGCGATGTGTTATTTGCGACAGAAATTTAACGACAAAAATCACATTCACCGACTGCACACTCTAATCAACGAAAATATTTCAATGGTGCTATAAAGTGGGAAATACTCAGCTGGTGTGAAAATAGGTGAGTGTCAGGCGTACGGGGAAGCAGGCCAGGACGAGCAGGGTCATACATCAGAAGGGATTACGGAGGCAGGCAACTGTCAGTTCGACCGAGTTTACTGGTGAACTTAATGTCATCTCCAGCTCGCTGGCCACTAATAAAAATGTTATTATCGAAACGTGCTCGCGCCGCGTCGTCCTGGCGCCTGGCGCTTCCACCAAAAAGCTGTGGAGTCGGTAGCCTAAGGAGACTCGAGGTACTTAGCGCCCGAACACGTAGACTACAGACCTAATACACCGTAAAAGATATTATTTCCTCCGAACGTGGAAATAACTTTAGCAACCGACGTTTTTTTCTTGTTGCGCACGCCGTGTGGATAAATTCGCGCAAAAATCATAAAAAATTATTTGAGATTTAAAGGTTTTCCTGTATTTTATGACAATACTGTACTTCCTGTAAATTGCATATGTCTTATTCATGAATTGGCAGCAATCTCGTCAAATTAATTACACATCTGCAAAATTAACGCGTGTTGTTGCCGCCTTAGCCGGTTTATAATGAGACATCTTTGACGCCCCGCCGACCGAGACCTTAGTCACGGGAAGCGTCAATTAATAAGGAATTTGCGTGCGTCCCGCACCGCAGTTAGCCGAAAATTCGATAAATTTAATGAAGATTTATACAGTGTGGGCCGTTGCGGGCCGGCGTGTGCACAACTCCGACGCCCCATCAAGGGAAAACTCTATCAAATTTAATTAAAATTTCCCAATTCATAAATGACATCGGCCTAGGCGCGCACTACCCGCCGTTAATAATTTAATAACACGACGGGCGCGTCAAGCATCGATGAAGCAACTTGTTACTCGCTGCCAGTCAGTCTATTGAGAGTTGCGCGTATCGACTTACTCAAAGAGCATTCGAGCACTTCTAAGTGCCTCAGACTGTGAGGATATCCGAGAAGCGAAGCATTCATCATCAACTCTTGCTTTTGGATTAAACTTGTTGAAATTCAGTTACAAATACTACAAATTCACAAATTTTTATGCTGACTATTCAGTAGGTGTTTTATTATACTGGGAACAATAACCCTGGCCATCAATTTTTAATCTTTAGTTTCAATAAATGTTTTTGTAACCGTTTTCAATATTTAATACTTTAATGGTTGCAATAAATTTTATGCGTATGCTGACACGGCAATAATAATAAAATTTATGTATTAATAAAAAAAATAAAACAACCATTTGTTTTCTTTTTTCTTTTTGATGTCAAAAGTGGAAATTCTCGTCGGCAGACAGCGAAAAGTACACTTTGTAATAGAATTATAATTCATCGGAGATTTTCAAACACATATTGGAACTTAATCAGAATTTCCGCTGTGAAGTTCTTCTGCGCAAATAGTGCGAGCAATGTTCGACTTGTCTGAGTTGCTGGAGTTAACGTAATTCTGGGCACAAACGAACCTCGCCGGTTCTTTTTTTACTTTGCTGTCTACTGATTTATGAAGCGCGAGTTCTTCGTCAAAACCGCGCGGCCGCGTAATCTCAATTTTACGATCGGCGGCGGCAAATGCTTGTCGATCGATTATATTAACGGCGCGCACGTTATTCGCGCGTACGTGACATTATTAATCGCTTATAATTCATGATGGCGAATAAATTTATTACCGCCGAGCGTGGATTATTAAATTTCACAATAGTGCTTAGCAAATTTTACAAAATTATGCACGCATAAATATGAACAGGAATCACACGTACAATACAAAGAGACTCTTTAGCTATCAGGTGATAATAATTTTTTTTCTGTTTCCACCTTTAAAAAACAGTTTTTCATAGTTTTGTAATTCCAAAAGTGGTACTTTAATCACGAACGGATAAGGCCGTGACTAAAGTCCGTGGCTAAAATACGTGGAACGCTGTTAACACAACAAAAACTCTAAAAAAAACTTTAATATATAATATACTATAAAACTAGACATTTTCAAGCTCTAGAAAGTTAATATATTGAGAAATTCAATATAATGATGACAAGTAGAGAAAAATCTTGCCTTTTGTTACTTCCGGTTTTTGTTTTTCGTTTCCCTTACATTTTATATTAATAGTTTGTAAAATTATGCTGCAGTGAATAAAGTTATAACTAAATATCTTCTCCT